ATTGCCGAAAAAAAAGTATCAGTTTGTATTAATTTTATAATTACCTCAAAAACTATAATCAACCTGAAAACTCTAATGTCAGATTCTGAACCAACGAAGAAATTCCATTCAGAATCTACTCATATTGTTTGGCGCAGAAAATGTTTGATTTTTTGTTGTTCAGTGTTATTAGACATTAGACAATAGATTTACTATTATAGATATAAAAATTGAAAAATTAACTCTTTTTTCACCTTTGCATCTTTATAAACGTTATCTGTTTTAAAGAACACGTGTCATCAATAATACTGTTACTAAATAAATAAAACATCAACCCTGATGAATTTATTAGATTCCCGGAATTTAACCAATTAAAGTTTAAAATAATACAGATTAAGAGTTTTTAGTTTTCACCTTTATCAATTTATTGGGTATAAAAACATTCGACGAATTCAACAACCAAACATGACCGATTCTAATAAACAACAGAATTTGTAATCAGCAATTAAAAAAAAGTACATATATTTAACTAAATATGTAATCTTATATTAATCTCACAATAAAATTTTAATAATGTACACAAAATAAATGAAAAAATTAGTACTAAAATTATTTTTACAAAAGTGACCTTTAAAGCAATTACTGTTTTATTATTGTTTAGTATTTATCTATGACTAAGAATTTTTATATACATCAATCAAAAGAACTTTTTATGATAAGATTTATACGCCACAACAAGTTTTGGTTTTATCATCTATTACTTTAAATGTAAAATTTTGTTCAATTTAAAACATGTAATTTTAATTGTTTTGAATTTTAATAGTGAAATATTTATCTAAAGAGTTGATTAAAATAACTTTTAGTATTTTAATAATCGTAACTATAGTAATTAGCCCATAATATTTATGATAGTCATCTACTCTAGTTTCTACAGATTGCACAATTATGTACATTCAATAATTACACAAAAAATGATATTTAATCGTTTTAACAATAATCACTTAATTAATTGGATATCGTTTTTTCGCAATTTATAAGAAAACCACGTAACAACACAGTTTTGCTAAAAAAAACTAGTGCGAAAAAGGATAAAAATTTTCGTTAAAATTAAATGAAAAAAACTTTTTCTTCTAAATTTCCAACACGTGTGAGTTGTTGAATAGAGTTAGCAGACAGCAGGGGCTAAATTGGTACCCTAAAACCGTTAGTGTGTTTTCGGGTCGACCGAACACGATAGAGGAATACATTTATACTATTTCCGTGAGCTCATTACCGCCACCGGTGTAAGTTATGACGTATATCGGTTCATTTATCTCCACCCTGTATACTGTTTGGTCCACAATTTATAACGGCATGCCTGACCCTATAAGTCGACATTAAATTATACAGCGTGAATAAAATTTACACACGTCCCAAACGACTACATCTTAACCATAGCATACGGGTTTTATTATTTTTTAAGACGCACATATTCTACCACATAAAGCTTTTTGCTCATAAACCTTAGGCTCTGAAAAGTCAACGCATTGCTATACACATTAGAATTTGAAACAATGCGTTCGAAACTATTGGGTTTTATAACTTTTCAACATCAAAGTGACAATTTGTAATGATTATTGGCAAAACCGCGAGCCTGATGTTTTCTTTCTGCATTCTCTTACTTACTGTCCATAAAACACGGTGCTTTCAATGAGGCTTTGTTTGATCGTGCGTTGTATTATTTCGAAATACATTATATTCTTCAATGTTAAAACACATTTTCATTTGCACTTAAGAATATTAAAAATTCACCATTGATCTTATAAGTTATAACTTTTTTTTTTATAAATTATGATCACAACTTATCAATAAATATAGATTCAGTACAATGAGTTAATACACTAAAAATGGAAGTCTGAGTCTAAGCGAAACAGTCACTTCGAGGAAAAAGTTTCTGCACTTTATTCCCCATTCAGTTCTTATATTTTATTGTACTCTTTCTATTGAAAAATTCCTACACTATGGTAATTTTGACAAAAGATGTAATAATAAACATTTAAAAAGACAACCCAACAATTGGCTTATTCGTATAGTCGTTGTACTGGTTCAGTCCTTACTAGGACTAAGAACTAAGCTAATATAAATTATTATTAATTTGTTTAAAGTTGGTGATTTTAAATGATCAAAAATTAGCTGAATATCGATTAAATATTGACACCATTAAAGAAAATAACATTTTTAATGCTGTTATTGAATATAGTAATACTTGTGCTTTTATATAATATTGTCGTAAAAACAATCATACACTATTTACATTTACAAGCCCTTACTTCAATACTAATTATTGATATCGCATTAAACCTGCAAGACATTTCTTATCATGTTGCTAAGAAAGTGAACTACAGATTTTGTTCAAAGAGACATTTAAAATTGTGTGCGCAATTTTCCTACAACCAACTGTAATTCTTCGGTAATAAAAATGATTTTACTGTTCGTCAGCGCACAGTAAATTTTCAAGAACATTGTTTTAACATCAAATCCGTCTTATGATAACGTTGATGTAATATTTCTGCTATAGTAAGTTTTATAGTATGATGGTTCTTTGGTATAATTAGGTAATCGTCGCTAAAACAGCGTCTGGGAATTGGGATATCTTTACTACTCTAATTATATTATTGTTTCCCGAACACTATTACTGTTTACTATCGAAAGTTTCCTGTCATTAAACACCCGACAATTACGTTTAATACGATTTAAAATCATAAAAGTTTTTTAGGATTGTTTTTATAGACATGATATATATTATGGAGGCAATGATAACAGTGAAATTGCCGAAGGCGTTTGTGAACCACTATGGTCATATAAACCTGCTCTGTAATAACAAATCGATTAATGTACTTTTTGCTGCTGCATACAATAACGGTTGGAAAAAAAAATAAGGGATGAAATACTTAAAAAATAACGGTCTATTTCAGGAATTTTATTATATCGGTCGACCGGATACATTTCAAAAGAAACCAGTACCTAAATATTTTTCATTTATTATATAGGGTCAATTCAAATTAAAATGATAATTAAGGTTGGATTATATGAACGTAAAATCAACATAACAATCTGATAATGATGAAATTGTTTGTAAAATAATGAGCCCGACACACAACGCTGTCGTATATGTCTTAGTAAGTTACATACGCAAGCAATTTGCACAGTTTGTCTTAGAATTTAGACTGTAAAGAGAAAACAGGATTTTCTTTGCAAGGCTAATGATATACAACAGGTCAAACGAGATTCGAGAGTTAGTCAAAGGGATATCAGACTCAATTATTATGACAAATTTCAAAAGACTTAAAATTTATAAATATATATATATAATAATATGATATAAATAACATAATTTACCATAGACTCCTATGAGTAAGATTGAGTACGAGACACTCAACACACAAATCAACTTGACACTATTTTAATATTTTATATAATTTAATAATTTAGAACATTGGGCGTCTAACTTTATTTTACAAATAAGATAGACAAATCAGTTTAATTAGAATACTATATTTATGTATTCCAATCCAGTATTCTCTGTTTCCCGACTCAGCCAAATTATCATTCAGACTGAATCGGACTGATTCAGTCCTTCTACATAAATTCTAGGTTGTTATACATTTACACACAGTAAACCCAATCAGTTAGTTTCTACGTCCAATTGACGTGTATGTATGCTCGTTAAGAGCAATCGACCATTAAAAAGCGTCACTTACCTTATTCGCACCAACTACCGCCAATTGCGGTGAATATAAAAAAACCTTTCGCTTTGCGAAAAAAGGCAAGAAAAAAAAAGTAATAAGTTACTTATTTTTAACAAGAACTTATAACACGGTAGGAGCATCTAACATATTGCACATATGTTGACCACCACCTGACAGCGTATACTTGATAGCACTACACAGTGGGGCCAACTGAAATGCCCGGTGTTTGTCGACAACAACAAGTATTGTTATCGTATCTTTAGCCAAGTAATGAATGTTCCGCTTTAAGGGTAATAAACGACAGTATATATCTAAGATATAAATTACCATCACCTACCTTATAATCAACAAAAGAAATTCTATGGATCGTACAACACGATAAATTGGACTCGTATTTCACAAGAAAATTTACATTCTATTATATAGTTTGGTTCATTATCATTGTTCAAACAATGTCAAGTCGTCTCTATAAGCATTCAGTGAAAATTATAATGATTAATCAAAACTACGAGTAGTTATCAATAGTCTAAAACAGTGTTGAATTTAGATTATTTTCTAGAGAAAGTCCAGCAAGCACAAACAAAAATTATTTTTTGTCATATTGTCATCAAATACTATAAAAAAAGTCAATGAACAAAAATAAAAATAGTTTTCAACTCACAATGTTAAATAAATATTAATCTTATTGTCCGTATTAAACAAAACATTTCGTCAATTGTCGAAAATAGCTATACAGGCTGATTTTTTTTTTATATTAAATACTCTATTTCTTTTCAAATAATAATTATGTTAAGAAAATTCTGTTTGGTATTATTTAATCTCATATATTCCTTGACTTATTAGTTGTTAATTACTTTTTTAATTCATCCCTTATATCTTTTAAGGGTGTTGACTTAAAACAATTATTATTTTAGGAGAAATACAATAACTAATATTAAATGAATCACCCTATATTATCATTATCACCCTTAAATATTGAGGAGGGCTATCAAAGTGTCAGTGGACTCCAGCCTCGCCTTTGAAGTTTATCTGGATTCAACACTGGTCTAAAATACTTTTAATAATATCATGAAATACATTTTACTGTCTTAAAAGATAAATAATAGTGGACCCTTTATTGTTAATTTTATCGTCAAAATAAAAACTTTTTTTAATGTTGCTATAAAGTAATAATAGAACTTCAATGGTTAATAAATATTTCTAAACAAAAAAAATAATTTCTTCCTAAAAGTAATTTTATCTTAAAAATAATTTAATTTGGCAATCTTAAAAAATATCCAAACGTTATATAAATAAATATATACATGTTAGTTTTATTTAATCATTCAAGAATTAACAAAATTTAATAACACATTTCACAATTAAAAAAAATTTAGTTATTTTTTTTCTCGCAGAGTAGATATGTTAAAAAAATCGATCAATGCGCATCATAATATTATTTATAAATACTTAATAATAAAATAACGCCAAACTTTTTAATCACTTAGCTATTAATTGAATCTAGTCGATAAGCTTCAATAGTATAGTTGTTGAATTTCTAACTGGATTTTCAAAGTCACACTAAATATTATACACAGTAAATATTTGTTTACAAAAAAAATTATTAATATTATCTGTACACATATTAGATATTTTGAAAATGTTCAAACATATTTTCGTTGGATCATGTGTCTTATGATGGCGGCCAATAAGTAGTCGGCTTTGGCACCTCCTGACTCGACAATCATTTCAATGCACTCCTCTATGGTGGCCTGAGATAACTTTGCAACGTCAGGTGGAGTCGGATTGACTAAGCCGGGCAAGAAGAAAGCACAGTGTGCGTACCCGTAAAAAGCATAAGGTTGCATCTCTTGTTCTATGTCCGGTAAGTTCAGTTCGGGGAACGCCTCAGCCATACCGTCCAAATAAGCGGCCATGTACGAGTCCCAATATTTTTGCCGATCTTCTTCGGTTGTGTTCAAGTACAAGAAAAACGATATGTCAATTGCCGGTGACGAGTATCTAGCCTGGGCAACGTCAAACATCAGAACATCAATAGGACGACCAGTCGCATCATATTTATACAGCAAATTGTTACGGCAAAAGTCTCCGTGACATAACACTGCGAAGGGTTCCTTAGGTGTCACCATAGTTTTCATTGTTTCGCTGTTGCCGTCAAGAAGTGCACATATATTTTCCAATTGGTCGGTCGACGCTCCATAATCTCCACGTCTGCTCTCTTCTGTGACATAAGTTTCTATTCCCCTGTAAGCGGTACCTGCGTGACGTAATGTAAAAATTCATTATATAATTTTAAAGAATAGCTTACGCAAATGAAAATTTTAATATGCTATGAAATATTTTACGATTTAAAATCATTTTTTCGAATGTTCATAAAACTAATGAAATGTTTTGGTTGTTACCTAATATTCATCATAAACTGTCATAAATCATTAACATATACACAAAAAATAATTGAAAAGTACGATCAATCATTGAAGAAAAACTCATAAAACATTTAATATGTTAATCAATATCTACTTGTTAGACTAATTATATATACGAACGATTTCGCGTAAAACTATTACTTAATCATAAAAATTAAAACGTTTCAAGTGCAACTAAAGTTCAATGTCTTATCTTATAACATAGTAAAACTATGCAAATCGATAAAAAAATAACAATAGTAATTGAAATATATAACCTAATGTATAATTAACCAATTTGTACAATAATTTTACATTTACTATTTAGAAATAAAATCAAGTTCCTACAATAAAAGTAATTACTTTTTAAAATTCATGTATAAGTTTTATTTATTAGTCTTAAAATCAATTACATTTTTAACGAAAAAAAATTCTTTAACGAGTAATAATTAATTGATAGTGAATATAGGTATATTATTATCAGTTCTCAGAACTGGCATTTGCTTATATCTATAGTTTGAAAAATAATGCAGCACAAATGTTTAGTCCATTGATTTCTCGGTAAACAATAAGTTAATATTAGTTTTTTTAAACTTAAATATTTTTAGTAATATATTTATGCATTGTACGAATAATATATTCAGCAGTTTTTATCATGTAAAACGAAAAATTAGTAATTAAAAAATTTTTTTTTGATTATTCAATGAATTTTTTTTGTTGATTTTTATGATTTATAAATGCTTAATTAAGTGTTTATAATCGTGTTTTTAAGCGCTTTTAAAAGAGCTTATTTTGACAATTTTAAGTGCTATAAGTCTCGAGCCCAGGATTTTATATTAATTTATTATTATAGTGATAAAAATTATTAATAACTACGAATGAATAGCTTTTAAAGAACTAGGTCATTAAATTAATCGATTTAAACTTTTGTATAATTAACAGGTGTAAGCTACCAAACAACAATATTTTGTGTCCTGTTATCAATATTATTTATTAAATTATTTTTTTCCTACTATACTTAAAAGTTATGAAACCAAATTGTTAAAAACAGAAAAACTATTGTTTTTTTTAAGAAAAATATAAACTTACTACTTCGCAACACATAATAATAGTTATTTTTTCAAATAATATAAAGAACATACACTTGTTAAACATTTAAAATAAGTTTCATTGAAAATTCGTTTTAATAATATTTTAAAAAGATTTGGTAGTACTTATAATTAATTAATATTTTCTGTTTTCTTAAGTGCAAAATGTTTAAACATAATTAATTCAAAGTTTAAAGTCTTACTAACGAAATAGGGGAATTCAACTTTGAACGAAAACTTTATCGTGAGTAAACTAGAGCTTAGCGAATAATAATGCATTTATTTTATAACTTTAACAATCTTTGATGACTTTAAATACATCTCCTAAAAAGTTGTAATTGTACACATTTCAATTGACTATGAAAAAAGGTTTGTTAAAACAATTAACATGTAATGATACTTTTGACGTGATTCTCCATACGCAAAACAAATTGAGAATACAAAAAAAGAAAACATTAATTAATATGAGTATGAAATATTTTAGTATTAAAAATTAAAAAGTTTGAAACGTTGAATGTCATATATATTTGAAAATTACTTAAGCGTTACTCATCTTATAGGTAAAGTTTGAAAAACAAATTTAACTAGTATGATTTAAACTAATACATGAAAATATATTTTCTTATATAAAATATTACTTCTAAAAAAAAAATGCGTTGATTAAAAATTGTAGAACTTACGACGTAAATGAAAGAAAGTACAGAAATAAATTTATTTGTTCACTTCCAAATTATTATTCTGTGAGATATTCTTTATTGCTATATGATCGTCACGGATGATTAAGGAGTAAAATATCAAAGCTCTTTCAAATATAATAACGAGGTATAAACCTTATTGAAAAACAGCAGTTGTAAGGATTTTTAGTCAATTTGTATTTGTTGTATTATGATTATATTTTTTTTATCAACGCAATCGTAAAACGACAAGATACTGTCGAATAGAAACTGATTTTTAGCAATTAGAATAACGCGATATGGATTCAAATATTTCATTTTCATTGTCAAGAAAATTATTTGCGAAAATTACGATTTTTAAATATATTTATATTCATATTCTAAACGATAACTCAATGCCGCATATACATTATTGGGAAATTTATACTGTTCAAGGCAAAAATTTCTGGCATTGTTATTTCTTTTTTCATTAATTAAATAATCAATAATTGTAATTAAGTGAAAAATAAATTTTAAAATTTTAAATAGACCTGGCCGACACTATTCATTTTTCACTCATTTATTAATAATTAATAAATAAATATATATATATACTCTAGTTACTTTCTTTTTAGATAACAAATTTTTTTATATTTTTTGGCTTTTGTCAGTTATATTTATAACTCCATTTATCTATTATATAATATTTTTTATGATCATCTCTAATGTTTTATAGAGATGACAACTTTTTTTAAATGGCATCATAATTATTGACCGGACACGAGGCACAAAATCTGCTGTATTTATCAATAGACATTTTTTAGCCTACTCCTTTTCTGGCCNAAAATCTGCTGTATTTATCAATAGACATTTTTTAGCCTACTCCTTTTCTGGCCGTAGGATAAAAATATTATTAAATTTTGAAATATTGATCCAAAATTTGTTATTAATTACATTATTTTCTATTTTGTAAACTAATTAATTACGTAGTTGATAAATCTATAAGACATTAGAGATGATCATAAAAATAGGTTCTAAAATTTCAGTTGTATTAAAAATTTTCGAAAATGATGAAATTTAAATAATACTTAAGTATAATTCTGACTATAGTTAAGAATCAGGTTTTTGTTTTTTTAACTTATGAAATTTTTATCTATGTTATAATATAAAAAAAACATTTTAAACTGTTTTATTAAACTATAATTTATTTATTTTTAGATGCATGATAGTTATTTAATATACGTTGTATGGATCCTAATTGGATTACTAATGTAATAAATAAAACTTACTTATCAGTTAAATAACTAATAGTATGTTTTGATAGGCCTATAAATATTTTTTATTTAATTGATAGTGTAGAAATGTTTCAAGGGTAAACAATAAATTAAAATATATTATATTACTAGAGTACACGATTAAGTGATTACTAAGATAACTTCATCTAAAAATATTTAACTCATTTAAAACCATTTTCATAGAATAAAATGTGTTTTCTGAACTTATATTGCAACATAAATACAATAAAAAGTACAAAGTATAACTTCCAAAAATCCAACCAAAATAATAATACTAAATCGAATACATAAAAAGCTATTAAATTGAGTGAAAAATCTAATACATGATATGCATTAGCCTATATGATGTTATATTTATAGATTTTATGTTATTATACACTTTGTGTATTTTAGACAAGTCACTAGTTTTATTTTTGCTTCAATGTGAATCTGAAAAATTATTAATTTTATTATGTGTTTATTTTTTTTATGAATGTAGCCACTTTTTTCAACTATCACTGAACTGATTTTACATCAAAAGATCACAAATCATTTTTAGTTAATGACATTACCCTTAAAATAGAAAATATTACCCTATTTTTCTGTGAATCAGGGAAATTCCACAAAAATAAAAATGTTTAAAATAGATAAGTTTTAACGCTTTTGAAGCTTTATAATTATTTAATTACCATGGATATTTTCATTTTATTTGGTATTTTTTTTTTAGAAATTTTACCCTTTACCTGCCCACAGGGGGGATTCAAAATAGCTACTTTTACATAAAAATTTAACAGCTTCACTTATGAAAATTCTCTGGAAATTATTTCAGCTTCAAACATACGTTAAATTAAAATGTTATTTTTCCAAAATTGTACTACCTATCTAGATTTAAAATAAAATTATAATTAACTAACGAGGATTAGAATAATTGAATTTTTTTTATATATATGTAATTTTCTAAAAAAATATTGCATTTTTACTAAATTATCGAATATCAAATTTGTACTAAATTTAACAACAATAATAAGTATTTATTCTTGTATTATTATATCGCAACCTCACTGGCCAGATTTTTATATATTTTAAAAGATAAGAAAGAATATATGAATATTGCGTATCAGTAAGAAAAAACTCAACATTTTTTATTTTTTGCACTATATGAATAAAAAATTATTACATTTTAAGGCAAGAATGTTTGATTAATATAGTTATTATAATTTACGTTAAAGAGTCTGATAAAAAATTATTTTGTAATTAAAAGTATAGGACTGTCAATTTATTTGATCTCCTCTTAAAAATTATCATATATGTTATGTCACTATTCTTGCTGGTTACAGCTATACTAAAAATTTAATTATTTTTTTAATGTTCATCAATTTTTTATATTTTATTTTGTTTTATTTTATTTTTAAATTTTTAAGATACTAATACGTAACAGTTTGTTATACTTATATTACATTTCTATTTTAAATCTTTACTCTATGAACAAGGAATAAATTTTAATAGATGTATAAAATTATAATAAGTTAATTAATTTCAATAAAACCAGTTAGATTTTTGGAAAATTCGCTCATAATTGAACATAAATACTAAGAAAATATACTACTATTAATATGCACTGATTGTAATTTTTAAATGGTAGTTCTTAAAATCCTACAATACGACATCACAAAGTTATTATCTCTTTTTAACTCCCTTATTTGACCAAAATTAAAAAGTAAAAAGAACTGCATGAATTTCGCACATGGAAAAAACAAACATATTCGAGTAATTTAAACGTTTAATAAAGGGGTATTAATAATCCTTTAATCACTTTATAGTTCGTACCAACCCTCATACCACTACGTAGGTTTTGCATGAGATAATATTTTTTTATGATATAAATTTTAATAATATGAAATAGCTTTTTATAAAAAACAATTTTTTTTCTGTTATTACACAACTTGTATGATAACTACAGTATCAATGAAACAATAATTTTTGCAAGTTTAATTGTGTTTAACATTAATTGTTTTAATTTCATAAAAATATTTGTTGGTTTTAACTGAATAATATTGATTAATTAAGGTCGAAATAAAAGCAAAATATTCGATAGCTTTTAGCGTAGACAAAATTCAGCGATTTTAATTTTAACATTATAGCCCAATTACCTAAAGTAGTCAAGTTCTACTTATTTTAGTAAAATTAAAAATAATGTTGTCAAAAGTGTTATCAATATATTGTTACATTAGGTGCTAGTTTTTCGATGAATAGTATTATTTTTTATTACTTGATAGGAATGTCGGACATCGGTACCAATAACCAAAGAACCATTCAGTTTCTACCAATTGACCCAAAAGTTGTAAGAATAGCTGACGACGAGTAGAATTCGATTTAGAAGCGTATGAATAACCATGGAAAGCTCCAAGTTTGCGCATAGCCAACCGCACATGATCTTTGTCCAAAAAAATTCGTTCTTTTGGAACCTGGTACCCTTTGGGATACATGTTTTCCAACACAATGACCTGCTCTTCATCTTCCGATTTCTGTCTGTCATCTAGTGAGGCGTTTGAATACCAGAATTTCGGGAACATGTCGGTTATAGATGTAGAACTAGTGTTCCGAGATAGTTCAGGTAACAATTGATCGTAGAATACATACTCGTTGTAAAATTTCTCATGCATGTTCGTTTCGCTAGCTACTTTAGCATTCTTATGCTTGAATTTCATGACTACGGGATGACTTTGGCCGTTAGTCATCAACACTTTGCCAAACAATATGTCCGATGAAAATCCATCACCCACCACGGAATCCGTATCTAATTCGAATCCGCTGTACTCAGCATCGACACCGAAAACTCCGTCGGCCACGATCTTTGGGAATAATTTTGTTCTCAGGAAGCTTTCGCGATTCGACATTATTTTTCGGGTGCGTACCTGAATTGGTATAGCGTGTCAAAAAAAACCGAGTCTAACACGGCCGGAGGACTGGCGATCAGTAGCCATACTACTTTCGTTAACCGCTCCTCGGCGATATGCACTTACGATAAACTTTTGATAATCAATTGCATAACTCGTCAGCAGTCGATATGGTTTTTACTCCTCACCACTGAGATAGCGTTTAGACCATATAACATGCATACTATTTATACCTATGACTTTTCGCGACAATAATGATGTTGTATCGCTTGTAGCCACTTTGTAATTTATTGCGAACAAGAACACCGTAATAATAACAACGGCGTTTTCATTAAAATATCATAATACGCCCGTGCCATTCATAATAATATACAACGTACCGAGTAAAGTATGATTTAATAAACGCGAGGTACTGCACACGATCAAACAATAAACACGTCGTAAATTATTGCCGCTGGAGCACTTTATTTACCCAAAAAGGGGTATTTCAAGTAGACGAGATTCGAAATAATTAATGATATTTGTGCTGCTCCACTTTCATTTGTATTATTTGTACACATTTCAATCGTGTTTATTTTAGGTATTTTGAACATTTTATAATGATAGATTTTGCAAAACAATCATTTAAATCATAAATTTATTTAAANTTTCAATCGTGTTTATTTTAGGTATTTTGAACATTTTATAATGATAGATTTTGCAAAACAATCATTTAAATCATAAATTTATTTAAACAAAAACATTTTTTTTTATAGATTTCTAAAATGGCAATCAAAAACAATAAAAATGCACTATTTAGTTGCCTTATTCATTATTATAAATAGTTTAATTTCTAGAAAAATTGATATTTATCTACAAATTAATCAATCTAAAGATTGAGTAATCTCATTGATGTAATTCCTTAATCTTTTGAGAACTAGAAAGAATAAACACCATCATCTCTTTCGATTGAAGAAATTCAAATAAAATCACACTACTTATGTAGTCCTATTAAAATAATGGATAGTTCGAAAAAGTTGGCTAATTGGTTAGCTATAAACTTTAATTAAAATTTAGATGTTTTAAATGTTATATAAAATGATGCAGCCGTCACAATTCCAAAGCCAGATGGAATTATTAAAATTTAAAACATTAATTCACCAGTCATCTACTTTAAGTATGTTATGATTATACTAATAAATTATACTGAAAATCAGTACGTCAAGTTGGTTTAAATTAATTTACAGCTATTAAATCAAATCGGACTCAATTTCACATACTAAAATCAATACATAAATATTTAGCTAGTCATTAAACACATAGAATATGAAGTTGTGCCTCGGCGTGACACATTCATGACATCTGTAAAAAGATTTATAGATATTTTGTTCGTAACCTTAAATAACCGATAGTAGATTAATAAATTAATTTAGCAATATACGTGCAATGATGTTCAATAAAAAATATATGTACATGATTATAGTCAAACATATCTCATATTAATAATGTAATTTTTTTAAATTATTTTATTATTGAGATAGTTCAGTCATAATAAACAAATATTATTTTAGTTGTATTATAAAAAAGAAATCATTTTTTTTAATATCCATAGACTTATTAAGTACTCAATGAAAAAGTTAAAGCATAATTCAATTTTTACTTTTATTTTGTCATATTTTAGGTTATTGATATATGATTAATCAATAAGAGAGACTTGTTCTTTTTTGAGGTCTCTCCTCGAAAAACAATTCAAGCTATAACTGTAAAACAGTATTGAAATAATAAATAAATGGGCAATAGTTTGGCATAGTTCGATTATTTTTCAATTCTAAATATCATTTTTTTAATTAAAAAAAAATTAAAGTTAAAAGTTATTTTAAAGTATTTAATATTGAAACATTAAAGTGAACTTTATATTATAAACAAGTTTGTATTTTCAAACTCATTATCTTGATAATTATTACTAGTGTTTCATAAATCGAAAAATAATTAAAGGGTCGATAAATATGTAGATTGTAATATATATATATTAACCATATTTACATATACATAATAAAATAATTACTTTATTTTAAATTTACAAATATGGACGTTTGTGAGTTCATACTGTAATTTAACTTAATTTTAGCTTTCAATTCCATGAAAAAAAACCTAAAATATTCAAAAAATACATCAAGTCACATTAATTAATTGATCGTTTTATGTATATAATAACTAGCGATATCTTAGTTAGCATCTAATAAATCTCATAATACGCAATAAATTATTTTACTGTAATAAAATATTTGTTTGATTTTCAAACAAAGGAGAAATTTAAAATGAATTATTCGTTCATATGGTTTGCTGGCACATGAAGTCAAAATAAGTCAATTTATTTTAAATGAGCCCACACTCGTTTACATATTCAAATCCCTTGTAAAAGCAAAGCAAGCAATATAAATTAAGTTTGAAATCATACATGTCTTAAAATCGTATTTAGTGTGCGTTAAAGTTAACAATTAATTATTAACAGTTTTCTAGGTTAAGGAGTATGAATAAATCACTCTCGGCTAAAATATTAGTATACTTTGTGTAATTTTATGTACGAAATTGATACTCTTAACAGGCTGAGTGCTTAATTATTTTTTACTCGATTAAGTAGTAACATACTCGTATTTATATGGAAAATAAATGAATCAGCTCTCACATAACATAAAAAAGCGTCTGTAATGACTTTTTTCCATTATCTAATTTTCGAACCGGAACCCTTTAAAATGTCATGAGAGATGGTACTGGGGTACAATAAAATTGAAAATGCGTAAGGTATCTCTTGTTGATTCGTTCGACGTTATGTTTATCAAGTTATAAAGCAACAGGAGGCTATTAAGAAAAATCTTAAATACAAAATTAAACTAGAAAGATAATAACCATATATTTATTAATTATGAACAACAATTAATTTCCAAAATATTTTTTTTCGAACAACATGTTAGAATTTTATTATATAGTTTCATTGATTTAACCACTACTGAAAAACATTAAAATTCGTTATCACCCTATATTTTATTACACTACAAATAAACATTTGAAAACATCAATAGTAGTAAATACAAATTGTTTTACTGTTATTTGAACCAGAAATCAATTTTGGCTTGTATAAATTGAACTGTACGCTTTGACATGGGTTAAATAAATTATTTGATATATTAAAGATATTTTCAAATCGTGACGCGTCAATAAAAAATGTTGTATCCGAAATAGATAGGCCATAATTTTTTTCCTCTCATAAAACTTTGAAAAAAAAAAAAGAAAGAATTATAATGTATATTTCATTGAACTTTCTATATGGTAATTTATTAATGTATGTATACAAGGAAATTTTTGTTATTTTTATACAAAAAGAATATTGAATTCAATGGTATTCAATTTTGTACAGTCACATTTCGAGTTTATACAGAAATATGTACTTTTATGAACTATGAAGTATACTTTTAACGTTAAATTTCTTATGAAAAAGAATTACTCTGGTAGAGTTAGATAGCTAAAAGTCTAAAATATTCTTTGGAGGTCACGAATCATAGCTATATTTCAAATTCATCCATCATCAAATTTTTAAAATGAACTTTTTGATTTAAAATTATGCATTGCATCGTATTCATTCCTGAAAATTCATAATATATTGAAATGCATATAAAATGTATTCAGAAAAAATTTAAATTAAGTCTTTGGAAATTTAATCAATAGATATCCAAAGAAAAATGCGGTAAAAATATTTAATGATAAGTATATAAAATTTAATTTTAAAAACACTGGCTTTTTAATTCACTGGCGTTTTATGCAGGCCAACAAAACTCATGCATTTATTTTTGGACTGGTTAAGAAATAATAACACGGCAATTAATAAAATTGAACTAATGTTGAAACGTTTATTGTAAAATTTATAATGCATATAGATATACACGGGTTCTTACAAAGCAGACCATTTGGCATTTTAAAGCGAATCTTCTATTTTCGGGTCTATTCGATTAAACCGTCATACTAAACCTTAGCGTTGGGGAAATTCATTTGAGTATTAATTGAAGACAAACACGATTGATTATGGAAATACTTGGCGTAGCAGCAACCTTTGGAAACCGAAAATGATAACATAGTAATTTAAACTAACGAAGCCCTTTCATCTACACTAATATAATATAAATAATGTATAAACTGCAATGCTATACATTCTTATTCATTAAATTTTCAACGACGATAAGGACTACGACTAAATTATCCGATCATTATGTAATTAAGTTATATTAATTATACCTACAATTTAAGACGACACGGCTCTTAAAAAAAAAAAAATTCTAACAAAGGTGAACTTTAAGATTGACACGATTATCAAATAATAATAATATTTATCTTCACTGGAAATGCTAATTTTAATAATTATTTTTTAAACTCATTTTCATATAATTTATGAATGTCACAATAATTGTTATGTGGTCCATAAATATTACTTAATGTAGGATGTAAAATTTTGTACCCGCTAGTCTTTGTACTATATGCATGCTGTGCAAAAACCTTAACGATATCAAAATCTCTACATGACGTCTGATATCTCTAGAAGGGAATAAGGGATGATTATGTTTAAAACTCATACCTGTAACTTTTGTAAGAGATATGATTCGATTAATGTTTACCCGAAACTAGTTGAAATACTAATAATATTTAAGCATTTACATTCAAACAAAAAATGAATTTTACATTTTTGTTTTGGCTATTTTCCTCGCAATTACTTTAGTTTAGATTTGTTATTTTAACAGAAAAACCAAATAGCTCAAGAATAGTTTTTTGAGCATTATGTAAAACTTTAACAAACAAGAGCAAGGTATGTGTTTAGGATCACGAAGCTTTACCAATAATTGACGTACACAAACTGTTATATTTCGACGGTTCATTTGAACTGTGTGTAGGTTTTTGTTGGCGATTTGCCAATATTGGCTAATAGACAGGGGTCATTAGTTTTTTTATGCGAATCAACTTTAAGTTATATTGTTCTCAACATACAAGCTACAGTCAAAAAATAGTTTAAATTGAATATGTCCAAAATAATTTAGCTATTTCTTACTATTTTTATTAGTCAAATACATAAAATGTCAATGTAATGGTTGTACAACACACTATATTTTCCTAACTGGTATAATTATAAAACTAGTAACTAAGATAATTTCAATCATATAAAGAATTTAAAATGTTTTATCAGAATATTAAGGGGAAAAAATTAATATGTTTGTTTGGTATGTTTTAGCTAGTATCAAAGTTATAGGTCATATAGTTTATCTTAGCGAATGGTTGTATAATAAAAAATATTGTAAAATTAGCTAACTTGACTAACATTAAAAAATTTCATGGTAATTTCAAATTAAATAATAAAATAATTCGTTTTATCTAAGGCAATGTTTGTATCTTTACAATTAGCAAATAAATTTTTAAATTTTAGGTACTGATAAAAAGTGAACATAGTAATTGATAAGTGATTAAATATTTTACTACTTTATAATTATTTATAAAAGGAACTTAAACAAGCTGCCTGAGTAGGTTTATTTAACTTGATTTGTTTTGTTTATTGTGCCGTCATGTGTAATGGCAAGTTTGTTATTTCTATGTATTAAGAAGAATGTTGGTCAGCTAAATAAACGTTAAACTTAATGTTTTTAGAGTCGGTCAAGTTCTTTGTAATTAAAAGTCCATTAACACAATTATTAATTCTTCTACATAAAAGTGCTAGGATGATGGTTTTCTACTAAATTTGAAAAACAACTATGACGTTATTTCTAATTAATTCAATCTTTTTCTAGTAAAAATGAAATAGATATTATATTTTATCAATAAGTGAATTTATATCAATTATTATATACTAATAAACGTTTATATTAAACATAGTCGTAGTCATTATTGTAAGAACGTAATGTTCCTATAATTTGAATTTGATTAGTAGGTTCAGTATAGTCAGTGTAAAAATATATTATTCAACTAACTGATCACAAAATTAAAATATTTCAAAGCTTCAATGATAAATTTTTTTTTTAATATTATGGACATTTTGAGTTAATATATTTTTTTAATTTCCTAACTATTTTTATCCGTTATTTCCTAAAATATAAACAAGCTTTCTCGCGAAAACATACAAAATTTGTTACATTAATTTTTTTATGAATTGAAATATCAACAAGTTTACAATTGAGTTGAAAAAAAATATAGTATAACTAAATGAACCTAATTTTTCAAACAATAATTTAAAATTGGTTATAATTATTACTTAAATAATTTTTTTTTTCAATAATCAATCGAATATTTTGAACTTTAAGAGGGTCTATAATACTTATGAGAATTTTTTGCTTATACATGATATTTAATTTGTATATTGGCCCCCTTAGATATGCCATTTTCATGGATTGATTACTTTTTATTATTTTTAAATAATTTTTTATGAAAATAATTTTAATTAATTTTCTCTTTTCGTTATTGGAAATTTTATTAAGTACATAATTAACGTATAAATGTATCTATGCTGAAAAAAATACTTAATGCACTCTTATTTTCAATTTTTTTTTTTTTGTTATAAAAAGCACTCAATCGCATTACCTCAGAAAAATTATTATATTTACTATTTAAAAGTTATTAGAAATAATCATATAGATATACTCATGTACCTTGAATATGTTTTATTGATCTGTACATTTTTGACCAAGTTTCTAGCTTTTTTTTATTAATTCGTAGGTATATTATTTAACAATTGTCTTTTGAAGTCTGCAGGCATCAAAATACGTATACGCATGCGTATTATGCACAATTTTTATTTATATAAATTGAACATAGAAAATTTATTATTATTAGTTTATACATATTTTTTTGGTGATATAAAGTTCTAGAACAAAGGACTCTTTTTTTTTTTTTTTATCGATGTTTTTGCATTTTTATTTAAAGAAAAAATTATATATATTTCATTAATACACATAATTCCAATTTTTTCAAACTATCCTGAAAGGTGTAAGATACTTATTTGAATTTCTGGGATTAGCATTTAACCATACAGAATATTTTGAACAAGATATTGTTTGACATTTATTGTTTTTAATGACTTTGGTCGTAACATTAAAATTATAATAGAACATAAATAGTAACTCACGTTTTAAAACAGCTTAATACTTCCAGTCTTCTATTAGATCCTAAAAAAAATGTATACAATTAATATAAGAGAAAATTTAGTTTTAATAATTAATCATAATTAGTTTTAATTATCTTAGTATTCTATGTCACTAATATTGATAAAGCAAAGTTGTGACGTATTCCAATTATTTGAAGATGCACGTTGTACAGAAATACCACATCAATCACTAATTTTCTTTCACTTAAATAGTGAAAATATCTGTTTAAAATTCCACTATATATCCAACTTTTAAGTTTTTACTGATATTTTTTAAAATTTGCTAAGTGTTTAAATGTTTCTTAAATTATTGAGTGGTAATAAAAAATCATGTTAATAATCATGTTAAGAACTAGTTTAATAATCGATCATAGAAAACTTTATTTTCTGGGCACATCCGCTCTGTAATTGGCGTTGCCTACCTCTTTCTAACAACCTGATTCACTTTTAGTTCATTTCGTAGTTGAAAGAATAGGATTTTTTCAAGGAAAATTATCAAACATTTTTTTTGATATTAAAATTTATTTTTGCAAATTTTATCACTTAAAAAACCTTTTTCCCCTTTTTTAGTAAACTAAGATAGTTTAAAAAGGGAACACACGTCACGTACACACCCTTGGATCCACTGCTACTGAATAGTTGATTCTTAATAGGTAATAGAAGCATGTTTCAGATTTCTTTGTGATCATGTGTTATTTTTACTCCGAATAATTCCTCATTTAAATAGAAGTTTATCAAAAATTTTGTTAACTTATTAATTTAATATAAAAAATTTTATAATTTCAGGAAAAACAACAATTAAAATCTAAGCAATATGTATAAAACTAAATAACCGTGTTATGTATTACTCTAACAAGATTCTAAAAAAGATATAAGCTGAATTCATTAGCAAAATGATAAACGACATTCTTTCATTCGTTGAAGGCGAAGTCCCAAAAACCAGCGGTAACAGAATTCTATTTATTATAATAGTAGCACAAAACGGGTGCAGAGCTGTAAATCACAAAGCGCACGCCCTAACTCCCGGACCTTTGCGACAATCTCTATTCACAAAGGTCTTTTTAAAAAAATGTCTTCTCTTTATAAGTTAAAAACCTTTGGTTTATTGTTTATGTTTATGCTTTGAAAAAATGGCAATTTCTTGGAAATTATATAATGGTAAAAATCAAACCATTTTGAATTGCAGTGTTAAATTATTAGAATAAATTACTGATACTTTTATGGTACGTATACTCAACAAACATGCATCACCTGTCTACATTATTTTGTTTGAGATTCTTGAGTAAATCCCTTCGGACCACATGGCACTACTCACATAACAAAATCTTCGTCTCATGTCTGAGTTAAAACTTTTGTAACGTTTAAAATGTAACAATCACATACGTCAACGATTTGTATTATCATGGGACCTATGACAAACAACCATCTTTAGAGTCGAAAAGTTTATGTTCATTGTTTCCAAAATATATTGATTGTAAACTTAAACTTAAAACCTTAGATATGGATACTTATTCTGAAATAAAGACGATGGAAGAATTTTCAAATAATATTTGAATTATTAAACTAAATGAAACTTTTTGTTTTTGAATTCTACATATAACTGGAATAGGTACATACATTTAAATAAATAGGTTGCTTAAAAGTTATCGGACTTTTGACAAAGTATGAATGATTCATGTTCACAAAATTTTCGTTTGAAATAAAAAAATGAGGTTTCAACAATTTCATAGAAATTCCTTTGTTGAAGGTTGAGTTGGGTTTAAAGGTGATTGTATCAAGTTTAAAATTATTTTCCAGTTGTTATTTTTAGGCAGAGGAATTAAGTACATTTATTTATTTTTTATTGAAAATTTAATTTATTTATAAACTTAAATCCTTTTTATAATAAATAACTAAAAATAAAAACAAATGTATATGGAAAATATGCTTAAAATTAATTTGCAATTTTGACGAAATCAAGATAGGCTATAAAAAATAAGTTTAGTTTTATTAGTACAAAAAATTTAATATGATTTCAATTACTTATTAAAAATTATACTAGTTATGTAATTGTGATAATTTTTTTTTGTGTAGATGTACAAACATTTATACGAAATTGTAAATTAACTTTTACATATTTTTTTGTTGTAATCACAATATTTGTAACATATAAATTTGTCTTATATATTATATTATGTATTGATACAGTCATTGGTTGTGTAATCAATACTTAAATTTTAAAAATTAAAAATAAGATTGTATTGAGAGTGAAAACTTGGTAATTTTTGAAATCTTTGTAAACATTTATAAAGTTTGTTAATTAGCAATACAGTATTTTCCTTCTTTTAAACTGAATATTCATTAGTACATTGCAAACATTCTCTTCCCTAGAAATGGTATCCTTCCTGTTTAAGCTCGACCGTTTGAAATTAATGGAGCTTAATAAAAGTAATTCAACATTGTTAAGAGGGCCGTAATTAATGCGGCCTCAAATCAATAACAATAATAGTTATCATTCACATCAAAATTAAATTATTGATATTTGGATATGATGACTTCGAATTTTTTAAACATCTGAGGGTGTTTGAAAAGACTGCCCTAAGTCTTAATTTACCAAAGTAATAAAATAATTAGTTATCGTTCAATTCAAAATGTGGTTTGGTTTATTTCCTAATGAACCATTTATATGCAAATTCATTTAAAATAAATCTATTAATTTATAAATAATCATAAAATTCATAGAAACTAATTAATTAGATATTAATTTTAATATTAAGAAAGAATATTCCAAATAAAAAATCATTTTCTTGGTATTACATAAAAAAAATTGTATTTTCATCTCATCATTATAAATTTCAATATTTTTTTTGGGGTATAACTATAACTAAGAAATATATTAAATTTATATAATCTTGGTTTTTGGTTTAGATAACTTTTATTACATGAGATTTGATATATTATAATCATGTTTTGAAAGCATACTTCAACGAAACAGTTTAATTCCCTGACTTTTAATAATTCAAAACAATTACACGTATATTAAGTAGTCTATAATTACTCCTAATGTCATAATGGTTTAAACCCAAGATGTTATAGAACATTTTTTGATATGAAATTAATTTTGTTTAAATAAAGTAAAAAATTAATAACAAAATCTCGGAAAAATTATTTAGACATCTTATAATGATTTTTTTTAAGTATTTTGACTTTTTACAATTATTTAATTTAAAATGCTCCTCTAATTATTTTTAACAATTTAGTTGACAAACGAGTACAAAACGTTTTAAACTGTTATTCGTTAATAAAGTTTTCTTTTTAACACACTTTTGATTTAAAAATACTGATAACATAAATGTAATGCTAATTACCAGAAACAAGAACATTCAAGCGTAAAAGTATTCAAAGGAGATATGAAATAAATTTTTAGTCATTTGAAACTAGACTTTTAAAGTAATTCCTCGTATTATTTTGAATAATAATAACTCAGTAATATTCACAGATATTCACTTAACACGTGTAAATTTAACTTCATTTTGAATTAATGATATACTTTCATAAAAAAATTGTACAATGAGGAACTTATAGATATTATTTTTAAAAAATGTATTCACTCTTTTCAATAAAAAATAAATACAGCTTATCTTCGAAGTTAACAAAGATAATATTTTTTTTTTCGGAAATTAAATTTAATCTTTATAATTGTATAATATTTAAATTTTAATTATTTTAACAAGAGCATACAAATTTAGTATTAGAATCGCTTATTAATAATATTATATGCCAAACTACCGTATTGTTATATACATGATTATATATAAACCTAAAAATTGTAACTACAATTCATACTTTTTTTAGACAAAAATAATAGAAGGAATGATAGATTATGACAATTGAAATTTACATATATGACATGTATTTAACATCTAACGTAAAAATTCTTAATAAATTATGGTGTATTTAAATGTTCAAATTAGAGCTTAATAAATTAAAAGTTTAATAAAAACAATAACATTACAATTCATATTAAAAACACAATTCATTCATAAATTCTTAAATTGAAATTTAAAAATTTAAATAAAATTAAAAATTAATATGATCTAGTTTGTATAACTAGATGGTAATACTTTTTATTTATAATTTAATTTAATAAATCTATTAATAATTAATATTAACTATGATTATGGTAAATAATTCTATACTATCTAAGATGATAAATTTGCAATTTCTGTATGACTCTAATTTTTTGAATAATTAAAGAAAAATATTTTATTCATTATAATGTACGTATATAACATATTTTTACCTTTTCTACACATGTAGGTATATACTAGGTGATTGAATTATAGTCGATCACTATACTTCTCCTAAAATAATAAGAATTTTTTTTTCTTTGTTAAGTAGTATTTATCCTTGTTTATAAGTGGTTGAATATTTTTTATATCCATCACTCATCCCTTATAAGGATCAAAACTTTATTTGTTTAAATGACAACATACAATACTTTTTGTTAAAATGTTAAAAAATTATATAACTAAGAAAATAACTTGTAGATAACAACTTTTGAACAAGAATTAAAGGAGTTATTAACACTTAAAAATAAAGACTAAAGACAAGATACCGAAAATATTATTTGTTATTATTACGAATCAGTCTATCATTTCCTCTCCCATACAAGTATATAAATGTTCCTACCTTCATCATTTGCAATCATGATTTATAGTCGTAAGTGCAGAATATTAAAAATAAAATGTTTTTATACAACGATCGTATTTTTTGTAAGGCTAACACCTACATAACACATATTATTATTTCTTGTAATTATGTTGTTTTTTAAAAATACAACTAAATTTTAAACGACAATAAAATATCAAATTTACTTTTTTATAATTTGGTGTAATATATTGCATGACTATAATATATTTTTTTAATTAAAGTACGAATCGGGTAATGTATTAACGGTGAAAAAAATTGAAATGAACTATATTAATTTGTTTATGGCGTTAATTTTTTTTTTAATGTAAATTTATCTTTAAAATTAAGTTA